AATAATAATAATAATAATAATAATAATAATAATAATAATAATAATAATAATAATAATAATAATAATAATATAGCTTATCCATTTTAACAAACCTCCCTTGCATCATTAGTCCTTTTCTTATATCTACATTTCTAACTTCTGTTTTTATTAGCTAGCCACTGATCAAAGAAGTCCCATGTCAAAAAGTATACAGTTTCTTCCTTTTGCTTAATTGCAAGTGTTAGTCTATCCATTTCTGCACATCCTCATATTTTTTTTAATCACATTTTCACCTGTGGGGATCTCTTCCCTTTTCCACTGCTGTGCAAACACAATTCTAGCTTCTTTGCTTGTTAAAAGGTCGCAAAAGGAGGACCATGTGACACTGCAACTGTCATAAATATACGAGTCAGTTTCCAAGCATCTTAATTTTGACCCTGGAGAAGGCTGCAATGGTCGTAAGTGTGAACAATGGTCGTAAGTCAGTGTTTTCAGTGCTGTAGCAATGTTGAACTGTCACTAAAAGTAACTGTTGTAAGTCGAGGACTTCCTGTACAAGCTAACTTCAATCAGGTGCTATTTGAAGGGAGTCATTTCCAGATCTTTTCCTTTCCTTGGTTATTAGATTTGCTGTCTTGGAGTCTCTGCAGAATAAAGCTGCATAAAATTTCAGGGGAAGAAATGGGAGGTATGTGATTTTGCTGAAGGTCCCAAATGTTGTCAGAGACCAAGGAAGAACAAATCAAGCCATCTGGAACCCCTGGTTTGTGGAAACGGTCATCACACGGTAACCCAGACAGAATATAGAATGTCCTTCTCTCCTTGATTAGAAGGGGGTTGGACTAGATCAGGGGTCGCCAACCTTTTGGACCCCAGGGACCACCAAACTCATAATTTTAAATCTACTAAGGCTACTAATATGAATTTTGACTGGCATTGGCTTGCTGATGTTGGTGCAAGGGAGGGAGAGAAAAAGAGAAAGAGAAAGAAAAAGAGAGAGAGAGAGAGAGATCTGATCTAACCTCTCCCTCTCTCCCCCCCCCACAAACACACAGAGGGAGGGGTGGGTTCTGTGGGTGTGGCCTAATTTGTGGGTGTGGCTTGCTGGTCATGTGACTGGCTGGGCATGGCTTGTATGTAAATATTATAAATATTTATGTAAATATTGAATTTTTTATTTAAAAAAAGAGCAACTTTTACCCAAAATCGGGCAAAGCAGGCAGGCAGATTGAGTTGCTCACAGAATCACAGATTCACTCAGAGATCTGTATTTCTGCCATCAGCTACCTGAGTCTGCCCTGAATAATGGAAGCTTCAGGCTCAGCTCTGCTTTTAGATTAGCTAGAAAGCAAGAA